GTGTCTGAAAAACGATTTTCTTCTGCACTCACAGCCATTGTTTCAGAATTATCGCTGAACTGAACTGATTACGACGTTCCCAACAATACGTTGTATGTGCACAACCAGTCGCAAAGAATCGGTTTTTAAACGGATCGCTGGCGAAAGAAGATATCTGCAACAATGCGTTTTATAAAGGTTTGTATTTGTGTTTATTTTTTATTTATTTACTGGGAACAACACTTGTAAACAGCAACTAGTGCGGGGAAACACGGAACTTTTTGTGGGCATGGAAGTATTGGAATAAATATTTCTCAACATGTTATCGAAAGTTTCGTATTCATCACAATTTTTGGATATTTTGAATACTTTGCTGTATATTTGTTTCATTACCTTTTTTGTTTTTATATGTTGCGCTACATTATTATATTAAAATTTTTGTATCGAAAATTGAAAAAAAAACTAGAGCAAAAATCAGATTTCAAAAATTCAATACTTACTCAAAAGTTTTGATATTTTTCCAATAGTCATCACCAAATACCATCATGTTGTCTTGTTGTCTTATTAAGAGCTTGACCAGAGACGCTATTTGACTATTGCGACGCGAGCGGTCGCGAAGCGGTTGCTTTATTCTCGTGAGTTTGTACCCGTTACGAGTGCGACCATTGACTTTCACTCGAACGACTTCGTAAGGAAACCTTTCAAAAATGGGATTATACTTACGAGTACGTTGAATCGCGAGCAGTGCTGATCCATGTTGAATTGTATCTTGCCCACTGAAAATATGGCAAATCTTGTTGGAGCTTCGCGATATTTATAAAAAAGAATGTAACTAATTCTTACATCTGCAGAATGAGTCCATACGTACGGCTCAGCCGAAATGATTGATTCTGTAAACGGAACCGGTCTCAGAACTGTTTTCTTTAACTATTTAATAATTTGTTTACTATTATGCTTTTTTTACTACTTCACGAACAAAATTCCCATTCTCTACTTCACCGCTCAGTGGCTGCATAAGTACGGAGTGAAGAAATGAAATATACGTCGAAAATTGCCTCACCAAGGGAGGCAAACACTTTTTTGTCTGATTCGAGGCTCAGCCTGAACCACACTCATCGAGTTCAGGTCAGAGCTCAGACGGCAAGAGCCTAGTCAAAATCTGGGTAAAGTGATCCACTCCTAAGTATAAATAACTTTTGAAATCACCTTCGTAGGTGATACTCGATGATACTTGAATGTGAGTGTCGTTGTTAGCAATTACACATGTAGGTGGCTCTTTTGACCATTTCGCACTGTACTTTCCGTCTAAATCAGAAAAGAGTTTACAATTAATATAAATAATTTGTAAGACTCAGAAAGGAGAAATATCGAAGTTTCTGTGAATGGCTTACATTCAATTTCGCCTATATTTTATTAATTTCCAGAGAGCGAAATGTGAAATTGAGCTTTCACCGGTTCGAAAATGATAATCAGTCGGCCTTTTTCTGGGTTAGGCGGATTCAACTGAATATATCGTGAGCTACCTTTTTTACACTCAATTGTACGTGGTCCTTGGAGAGAACCATTACGACATCGGAAGGATACCCATGTTCCGATACGGTTTTTGTCCTGCTCATCACTGTACGTAACAGCCAGCCAAGGCGAAAGTAGGCTCTCGAGATTTGGACAGTGAAGATCTGTAAATAAGAGAGATTCTGCTTGGGGCTCAGTCTATCAGATCTTTCAGTGGCATGAAGAGCCTGAGAATACATCGAAGATCGGTATCATGCTAGTATTCGAGGTACTCACCTCGACAAACTGGCCTAGACAACCATCGTCCACCACGGCCACAAACAATTTCTTCAGATCCTATCATTGCCTTATTCGGGTCGTTGCATGAAACCGTTAGATGCTCCAGCAACGAAGCTTGACCTGAGCCGGATGTGATGTCTGGGTCGTGCAGATTCTTTGGGCAGGTTTCTGAAAACGAGCAGAATCGTACATACTGTGACAAACCCTGATCAGATGTGAAGCATATGCTCAACCACAGATCACCAATACGTACAGGAGAAGCTGACAGAATTTTCGAAGGGTGTTCTAGATGGTAACCTGAAAGGGTGTTGCAGTGATGAAGGAAGTGTTTGTAAGTTAAAACTGACATATGGAAGGGAAACTCCGGGACAGAGCTCTTCCAACCAGTTCATGTCTCCGAGCGCTCCGCCTTTGATCCGGCTCGCTTCTCCTTACATCTTGTAGCTACTTCTACAGTTGAATGAACAGTATGATTATAGTAAGTGAAAGTTAGAGAAAATGCTCATTTAATTCTCTCACGTTGACGGTTGAAACTTCGGATTCTACGACATCGGATAAAAACTGGACACTCAGTGCATTGCTTTCTCTCGAATGGTTTGAATTCTATGGTCTCCTTACCATGTTTTTTTCTACGGTGAAAGAGAATCAGTAGAATCAATAGAATTGGAGGAAAAGGGGACCTTTTAACGATGCTAATAACTGAGTTACTACTGAAACTGTTAGGGATAACTCGTCCAAGTAGTAAGTAGAAACTCTGGTGTAACCTTACTAGGATTGTGATCGAGAATATATAATCAAAAGGTATGTAACCGGCAACGGAAGCAGTGATAGATTCAGCAGGCGCACGGTTACATTTAGGAGCAGGGTCTTGAATTTTGGCCTGGGTGAATGAGGGATGTGCTTCAGGGCTTGGTTTCAGACGACTCCCTGATGTGCAACCTGTCTTGTTTCGGATAAATATTGAATTATGCGTCATACGTTGTCTCGATGCATAGGAACCCGTCCTAACTGGGCGGTACCAGCAATTCCATCACTGGAATATCAGTTTACCAGTTGGGCCGCCCGGTTT